GGGTCATAGGTTCGAATCCCACTGTTGGCCGGGCTTTTTATTTAATTTAATTATTTAAAATTAATTCTGATGCCTCGGTAGGATTCCCAACTCGACCATTCACTGTTGGAGTCTAATTAACAGTGCTGTTCTCAAAATGGCGCTGGGGAACAGTAACAAAGCCTACACAGAAAACGAGGCTAATGGCCTTAGTAGTCGATGCCGATGACACCAAATTAAAAAAAAATCTGTTGACTTTTTCTTATAACTAAAATCTCATACCTAACTAGGTTTAAATAAATGAATTTGAAATTGATTAAAACTCTATTTTGTACCTCCTTGTATAGTATACTAGTATACTTAATCGGTGTCATCAACACTTACGGGCATATTCCGCAAATTTGCTGCAAAACAATGCATAAAAAATATACCCAGCTACATTTACCATTTTTAATGATGTACCTGGTCTATAATTAATTTAAAAATGTGTAGAAAAATTATTCAATTAAATTTTCTTGAACTAAAATAATTTTCATTTATAAAACCCTATACTTTTAGGTAATCAAAGCATGATAAAGTTGAAAGCTTGTGAACTCCTCTAAAATCATAAAGTATGAAGTCCTGTATTTGTCAAATTTTAATGACTATTCGACAAATAATTGAGTTAACTCGGTCCCTATATATATTAAACCGAACAGGTAGGTAATGAACTCTAGAGCAATGCAGGGTAGACACCAAAGCGAACAGCAAAAATCGAATGAATTTTAGTTAAAAGTTTAAAGTTGCATAGTGAGGAAAACTACAACCAGCGCTAAGAGTGCTATTAAAATAGAGGGTTTTGGACTATTTTAATGGCTCTGTTAGAGCTTTGACCATTTTAACCATGTTTATTTTCTATAGGTTTATCGTTTCCAAAATCAACTTATAGATAGGCACATGCTAAAGGGATTTTTGAGAGATTTGTTAAGTGCCGAAGACACAAGGGAGAGGTTTTTAATGCGTTTAATCTACGTATAGAGGTTGAAATGAATGGGGATAACATCATATAATGTAACTATCACCGCTTTTGCAACAGTGGTATAAAATATGTACATTTGTATGTTTCTATAGGAATGTTTACTAATTGAGTTTTTTTTTATAGTGCAGGTATTTTTTTTAACGATTTAATTTAATAATTAACATAATAGTGGTCCTGCAATACTTACTTATTGCAGTAAACCTGTAATATATAAGACATTTTCTGAAATAACATCTATGTATAAGTAGTCTAAAAATTAGGATTTTTTTGCAGAAAAAAGCTGAATTTTTTTTAATTTAGCAAAATTTCTTTAAAAAATTACTCATTGACAACTTAGTTAAATTACTATTCCAGATTAAAATAATTTTATCTGTATAAATTTCGTCAAATGTTGATGAGTTTAGATATTTTTAAATATTCCCAACTAAGATTTAAGAAAACAAGATAAGAAAAAAGATAACCCTGTATAACGTCACCATCCCTTCTTCCCTATCTAAATTTCTAAATAATATTAAATTTTTGACTTTGGAATACCCATGGGCAGTAGTGTTTGATATTTTATTATACAGGGTGTTCCTTAATGAGATGCTAATATTTAACGGGACAATTCTAAGGCCCATCTTAAGAAAAAAAAAAATATATGGACGTATGTGCTAAACCTCCTAACTTTTGAGAAACGGCGGTAAAAATTTAAAAAAAAATACTGTTTTTATAATAACTGTGATTCTATTCTATTGAATGAAATTTGGCACACGTCTTCTATGAATCAAGAAGCATTTTACAATGTAAAAACAATTATTATTATTTTTAGCATTGGCGTTTGTACCGGTTTTGCTTTTAATATTTTTGGAGAACAAAATGGTACGCCACTGCCTGTTCTTAAAATAAAAATAAGTTTTGGAATTATCATTCATTTCTGAGCAAATTTAATTTCTTGGTTTTTTTTTCGCCTGACGCATGGTTTGCGCTTAAAAAAAATCCTTTTACTTCAGGGTCAAATCTGATGCGGTGACTGTTGCGTAAAAATCGCTTTTTTTGCTGTTTTCAAGCTATTGAGTTCATTTCATATCAAAAATGTTAATTAATTCAGAAGTAAGTAACTTATTTTACTTTATGAAATAATAAATAAAACAAAATCAAGTGCCAATAATATACACTATATACATGTTTCTGGTAACATAAACTATCATTTTACTAAGAAAAAAACCGTATTTGCTTATTTTTCCTCAATTTATCATAGAAAATTATTTCACCGTATATAGCTTTGCGCCCAAACAAAAAATCCTGAAGATACTGGGGTCTTTCATAGGACGGCAGTATAGTCGTTTAAATTTCGTTAATTTTATTTTAGAAAAATGGTTCATTTAACAGAAATGCACAAAATAATAATACAACAGATGACTGGTTAAAGAGATAACACACGGATACAAATAATGGAAGTTGTTCGCTTATTTCATGAAAAATTTCCAAATTTTCCACGTATATCTCTAGGAACAATTGGTAAAATAGAGGAGCAGTTTCGCGAAATGTAACGCAGATAAAATAACAGCTGCCAATGCTATAACCAATGACAACAAATTGGATAATATGCTATAATTTCAGAAATTCCCATTAGGGTGATGCTTAAAAGACCCAAAAATATTTTTTGTTTCTTTTCTCTTGGGTCACCCCAGGGGCTGGTAACTCAAATGGAAAAACATGAGGACGGTAATTTAGTACCACTCCAATTAACGGGATAGTGCTCGTATCGAAATGTCATGTTAGTTGTCAGCTTGTCAACAAAACTTGGAAAAATTAAAATGGCTATTGCATTTGAAGGTGTATTGGATTTTGATTCATCTAGAATCTAGATTTATTTTTAAACACCTTCCAATTTTAAGCATGTTTTCAAACGATGGAAAGATGGATTTTAGCAACAAACAATAAAGAACTCCCAGATATTGGTAGTGATGCAATTTATACCACGTATTAAATATGAGGTTGTCATATTAAGGATAACCAATTTGTAATAAGTGTCTTAAGAAAAATGCATCTTGTACTGCCATCAATGGTAAGTACTATTTATAAACTTGTTTTTGATTCAGTGTTAAAATAATTGGTTTGTTATTTAAATTTCTTTTTGTTTTCAGTTTTAAATGATCATTGTTATAAAGAAAATGTTGACCCTCCAAAATACCCTATCGATTGATGAAATATTTGAGCCTCAGCCATCAATATCAAAAACTGATTTAATGCCATTGACATCAAATAAGAAAACGCCCTAAAATCTTCAAGGGTCCAAACGTGTGTAAGTTTAATTTATGCTCAAAAGTTAAATTCATTTATCACAGTGCCCACATGATGAATAAAAATTTGATAACTACAAGTGCTGTATAAATGAATCAAGAAAACAATTATCGGATGAAGAAATGTTCCTCAACCTAACAAGTCGACTCGATAACCGTATGGCAAATTTTATCCATACTCAAATTTGCCTCGATATTAAAAAAGGATGATGCTTCAACTTAAATTTTTTCAAACTGATTTGCCACTCCAAGTCGCAAAACTTTTATAAATGTCTTGAGCACTTATATATGCTGATTTTGTTACAGAAAACATTTTTGATAGGTTTGTGTTAGAAATATTTAATTATTTAAATGGTGAAAATGCATATTTGTTTAGAGTATTTCCATGTTTAAATAGACAAATTATATGATGTAGCGTTAATTTACTGTAATAAAAAAAAATAATATGCATTTTATTTCAAGTTTGAAATTAATGCAAAAATATAATGAAGTAAAATCAAATAAAGATATAAATTGGCAAAATATTTTACTAGTTTCAAATCACAAAACAGTCAATATGGTTCTTTTATGATTTGAAACTAGTCAAATATTTTTCCAATTTTTTTGTTTTATTTGATTTTTAACCGACTTAAAAAAGGAGGAGGTTATCAATTCGTCGCGATATTTTTTTTTAATGTATGTTCAGCGATAATTCTGTAACACGGTGTCCGATTTCAATAATTATTTTTTTGTTAGAGAGGGGCTACTTTAGGGGTGGTCCCATATAAATTTGGTCAAAATCTAATAATTGGGTCCATGAGAAAATCCTCGAACTCTTAATTTTTTATGTATGTTTAGCGATTTATGTCCGATTTATATTCTTTTTTTGTTAGTAAGGGGGTACCTCAGGGGTGGTCCCATATAAATTTGGTTAAGATGTGGTGACGGCATCTGCACGTTTTTGAAGTCGGCTTTTTAAATTTTTAATTTCTAATACTTGTCTTCATTACATTTTTGCGCTACTACAAAGTTCAATTTCAAAAAGCCCACTCGTGGCGGCCATATTGAATTTTAGTACCACTCCAATTTGATAGATGGCAGCACATCGACTTAGAATTTTACTATTGAGTTTCCCATCTATTTACATTAGTAATCTATGGGTCACCCTCCCATTTTATTCTACCTAATTAGAGAAACTTAAATTAAATTTTTGAGATTTTTTGAGAAAAATTTAAAGGTCGCTACTAAAGATTTAAAAAATCTAACATTTTCCCAAAAAGTGATTATTTAAAAATTTTTGTATTTATTATAAAATTACACAAAAAACACAGATTTTTACAAAATTTCTTTAATTGTCACAATTTTTTAAAAACTTATTACATAATTAACATAAGCTTATATTAGTTGTTTAGAGTCCTCAAAAATATTTTGATGCACAATTAACACGTAAAAAACTCATAATGCAGACATCAAAGTTGCTTTTTTGTAGTTCGGGAAATTTTGTCTGAAGGACTTCACAAGAAGCAAAATATACTGCTTCTGGTCTTCATCTAGGGTCAGTATTTTGTTGTACTCTTGGATTAAGGACACCCCTCTCTCTGCTGTATCATTGACTACCTTAAATTTTGTTACTATCTCCTTACTTTAAATATATTCCTTTTCTTTGATCCAGTCTTCAACTTTTTTCTTGAGGAAATCGAAGCTTATTCCGGTAATAGAAAAGAATCGTTTGGTGTTACTAGTGACAAAATCGTCTAGATTTTTATTAACAATGTTTTCAATGTCTACATTAATTCTTTTCGGGCAAAAATCAGCTCCTTCTTTCTTTAGAGCTTCCACCATTTTCTTCTTAGTTTCATTTCCCACTTTGTCGTCAAAAAATGATAAGACGATAAGTTCCTCTGAGACATACCATAAATGGCCACATACTTTATTTATTGCTTTTCTAGCTATGACAGGGGTTACATCCTCATTTTTCTTTAAATCTTTAAGGAGTTCTAAGTCGTTTCTTGGGGCTGAACAAGCGGATGGAGCTTGGAACCAATATTTAATGTAGATTAAGACTGTAAAAATACAAATTTCTCGCAAACCTTTTTCCTCATGTTTTATCAATCTGAATTGTTCTCGAAACAAGAATATTTTCGGTGAGTAGATAGACTTTGCCATCCAACGTGCTCGGTGAAGACCTGCAAGCTTTTTAAATGACACGCAATTTTCTAGTTCTCCTCTAAAAAATACAATGCTTATTTGCAAGAGTTCCTTGTAATCATCTCTGGGCTGATATTCTGTCAATTGTTTCTTAGAAAAATTGATTATTTCATCTTTCACATCTTGGAGCTTTTCAATAGATTCTTCATCAGTTTCTAACGTCGTATACTCTTCTCTATTGATTAATTGACAGTTTTTCTAAAATCTTTTGAATAATACATTATCTGGTCCAAAAGAAGGCCCAATTTCATTTTAAACAACTGATTCCAGCATAATTTCCATAATGTGATGCCTACATGCTAGCCAGATCATTTCCTTATCCATTTTTTGCTTAAGTAGAATACAAGCCCCTTTTCGAGACCCGGTATTAGATGCGGTTGTGTCGAAACTCATACTCTTTACTTTATTGAGTAGACCCCACGAAAGGAGGGATTCATAAACTGCTGATGCAATACATTGATTTTAGAGCATGAAAATTTAAAAAAATTTTTAAATACCTGAATTTGGACAATAATCCTTAATAAGTTGCTTGGTATGTAAATCCCACCTTATGTGCCTATCTATAAGAATTCCAAGATATTTTACTAAAGAGGATTCAGGGATTTCTATACCTAGGCCTACTAGTATAGGAGCTAAACGGTAAGTAGCTTGCTTTTGTATAGTTTATTGTACGTTTATTACATTATAGTCACTTTCAATTTTTTGTTTAAGGTTATCCCAAGAAGACGAACTGTATATGACAGCCGTATCATCAGCAAAGCTTAAAATTTGGCCAAGTGATTCCAAATTGAGAAGGCTATTTATGTATACAGAAAAAAAGGATCGGGACTAACATGGTTCCCTGAGGAACTCCAACAGTTATAACGTGGTACTTGATATTTTATCTATTTGTTATAATGTGTTTAAGCTCAAAAATCGAAAAATCGAAAAATCGAAAAATCGAAAAATCGAAAAATCGAAAAATCGAAAAATCGAAAAATCGAAAAATCGAAAAATCGAAAAATCGAAAAATCGAAAAATCGAAAAATCGAAAAATCGAAAAATCGAAAAATCGAAAAATCGAAAAATCGAAAAATCGAAAAATCGAAAAATCGAAAAATCGAAAAATCGAAAAATCGAAAAATCGAAAAATCGAAAAATCGAAAAATCGAAAAATCGAAAAATCGAAAAATCGAAAAATCGAAAAATCGAAAAATCGAAAAATCGAAAAATCGAAAAATCGAAAAATCGAAAAATCGAAAAATCGAAAAATCGAAAAATCGAAAAATCGAAAAATCGAAAAATCGAAAAATCGAAAAATCGAAAAATCGAAAAATCGAAAAATCGAAAAATCGAAAAATCGAAAAATCGAAAAATCGAAAAATCGAAAAATCGAAAAATCGAAAAATCGAAAAATCGAAAAATCGAAAAATCGAAAAATCGAAAAATCGAAAAATCGAAAAATCGAAAAATCGAAAAGTCGAAAAATCGAAAAATCGAAAAATCGAAAAATCGAAAAATCGAAAAATCGAAAAATCGAAAAATCGAAAAATCGAAAAATCGAAAAATCGAAAAATTAAAAAATCGAAAAATCGAAAAATCAAAAAATCGAAAAATCGAAAAATCGAAAAATCGAAAAATCGAAAAATCGAAAAATCGAAAAATCGAAAAATCGAAAAATCGAAAAATCGAAAAATCGAAAAATCGAAAAATCGAAAAATCAAACAATCAAAAAAATAGAAAAATCGAAAAATCGAAAAATCGAAAAATCGAAAAATAGAAAAATCGAAAAATCGAAAAATCGAAAAATCGAAAAATCGAAAAATCGAAAAATCGAAAAATCGAAAAATCGAAAAATCGAAAAATCGAAAAATCGAAAAATCGAAAAATCGAAAAATCGAAAAATCGAAAAATCGAAAAATCGAAAAATCGAAAAATCGAAAAATCGAAAAATCGAAAAATCGAAAAATCGAAAAATCGAAAAATCGAAAAATCGAAAAATCGAAAAATCGAAAAATCGAAAAATCGAAAAATCGAAAAATCGAAAAATCGAAAAATCGAAAAATCGAAAAATCGAAAAATCGAAAAATCGAAAAATCGAAAAATCGAAAAATCGAAAAATCGAAAAATCGAAAAATCGAAAAATCAAAAAATCGAAAAATCGAAAAATCGAAAAATCGAAAAATCGAAAAATCGAAAAATCGAAAAATCGAAAAATTAAAAAATCGAAAAAATCGAAAAATCGAAAAATCGAAAAATCGAAAAATCGAAAAATGAAAAAATCGAAAAATCGAAAAATCGAAAAATCGAAAAATCGAAAAATCGAAAAATCGAAAAATCGAAAAATCGAAAAATCGAAAAATCGAAAAATCGAAAAATCGAAAAATCGAAAAATCGAAAAATCGAAAAATCGAAAAATCGAAAAATCGAAAAATCGAAAAATCGAAAAATCGAAAAATCGAAAAATCGAAAAATCGAAAAATCGAAAAATCGAAAAATCGAAAAATCGAAAAATCGAAAAATCGAAAAATCGAAAAATCGAAAAATCGAAAAATCGAAAAATCGAAAAATCGAAAAATCGAAAAATCGAAAAATCGAAAAATCGAAAAATCGAAAAATGAAAAAATCGAAAAATCGAAAAATCGAAAAATCGAAAAATCGAAAAATCGAAAAATCGAAAAATCGAAAAATCGAAAAATCGAAAAATCGAAAAATCGAAAAATCGAAAAATCGAAAAATCGAAAAATCGAAAAATCGAAAAATCGAAAAATCGAAAAATCGAAAAATCGAAAAATCGAAAAATCGAAAAATCGAAAAATCGAAAAATCGAAAAATCGAAAAACCGAAAAATCCAAAAATCCAAAAATCCAAAAATCGAAAAATCGAAAAATCGAAAAATCGAAAAATCGAAAAATCGAAAAATCGAAAAATCGAAAAATCGAAAAATCGAAAAATCAAAAAATCGAAAAATCAAAAAATCGAAAAATCGAAAAATCAAAAAATCGAAAAATCGAAAAATCGAAAAATCGAAAAATAAAAAAATCGAAGAAATCGAAAAATCGAAAAATCGAAAAATCGAAAAATCGAAAAATCGAAAAATCGAAAAATCGAAAAATCGAAAAACCGAAAAATCCAAAAATCCAAAAATCCAAAAATCGAAAAATCGAAAAATCGAAAAATCGAAAAATCGAAAAATCGAAAAATCGAAAAATCGAAAAATCGAAAAATCGAAAAATCGAAAAATCGAAAAATCGAAAAATCGAAAAATCAAAAAATCGAAAAATCAAAAAATCGAAAAATCGAAAAATCGAAAAATCGAAAAATCGAAAAATCAAAAAATCGAAAAATCGAAAAATCGAAAAATAAAAAAATCGAAGAAATCGAAAAATCGAAAAATCGAAAAATCGAAAAATCGAAAAATCGAAAAATCGAAAAATCGAAAAATCGAAAAATCGAAAAATCGAAAAATCGAAAAATCGAAAAATCGAAAAATCGAAAAATCGACAAATCGAAAAATCGAAAAAGAAATTCCGTAATGAAAATAAACCTTACACCCCCCCCCACTCCAACCGGCTCAGCGGTGCTGCGTTGAAAGCCGTTGCATCGTCTAACGTCGTTGCAGTTCGGCATATTTCGGCACGGTGTTTGTGTGCGTACGATTAGACGTATGCGTGTAGACTAGCTGCTAACTGCTTATAACTGATTCTATCTCTATTAGACACAATTTCTTAAAAATTGAATTTGAAAATGAATAATGATCATCAAGAATACACAACAAAATATGGGACCACCATTGACGCGGTATTTTTCAGATATTTAGAGGATATCAACTCTCAAACTAATGTTTCTTATTTCAGTTACCATAAACCTATAGTTTCAATAATAAAAATTCCTGAATAACCTACATATATTGAAAGATAATAAAAATATTTAAAACAATATTAACTTCTCATTTATTCAATAAAAGAAAAAAAATTGTTTTCTTATCGGTCACTATGCTCAAAAAGTGTAACTTGAATTAATATCAAAGAAAAAACTTGAATTAATATCAAAGAAAAAAATACTGCATAAATAAATAATTATAATTGCATTAGTTGACAAAAAATGATATGCAATAGCTTTACCGCGGCAGTCCCCGAGTGCCACACGTATAGGGATGTGTCAAAAGTATTGTATACAAAACTAAACTTTTAGACCTAACTGACTTAAGAACACGAATTACGCTTGCGATTAGATTGATCACGCCTGAAATGTTCAGTAAGATAAGGATGTTGCCAAGAGGTTCACGGCGAGCATTTTGAACATCTACATTGGGATTTGTTTTGTTTTTGTTACAATATCAATAAATAAACAGTATTACTTATTAGTTTTTGAGTGTGTTGTAACGAATTTCTGTAATCAAATTATTTTATTTTATTAATGATAATTTTTGCAATAAATCGGAAAACATTTAATATTGCTGAAACATTTAGGTATACGATATAGTACATAAAATATGCGTTGTGTTTAAAATAAGAAAGTTGGTAGTGGCCACTGTTAGATGACCCACTCTGTATAAAAAGCTTTTGTTAAAAAAATGCATAACTAAAATACCAATCGACGTGTCGAGCGATTTTTAGAACACGCCCCCATTAATTTATTACCAAATTTATTTCATTTATCTGTTCACACTGTATATTGAGAGATATTCTCGAAAATGATTTCAACGATTTTATGACCTCATAATATATATAATCTCTTTAGTCAAAATCTTCATGACTTTATGCGATCTATCACTTGACATGTCAGATATGTTGACTTAAGTGAAAGATGAGCTATTTATGTTGGTCACAAAATAATTTTCTCGCACCCGACTAGATCGCCCAGATGGAATGAC